ACTCCATTTCTCAGTTCCCCTTTCTGCTGCCAGCTCCTCCTATTCTTCCCTCTGACTCTCCTCTTTGTGTCCCTTTTCCCTTCACACCTACTGCCAGGCAGACCCTCTCCTTTTCTTCCATACCCATCACTGCCTCCCTACTTGGTCAGCCCCTCCATCCCCGCAGCAGTGAGAAGCCTTAATTTCTGGTACTGTGTGAGCACTCTGGGGGTATCCCCTCCCCCTTCAGGGGCAGCTAGAGGATGAGGGGGGAGGATATTTAGCACTGGGGCCTGGAGCTTTTCCCCCACTTCTATACCCGAATGCCCCTAAAGTTCAAATGCAAAACACTTGAAGCAGCAACTACTGTACCTGGCCCCAACCCCACACCCTCCCCTGCTCCTCATATGCAAATCAAGGGCTGGTTCTGCCCCCACAGCCTGCCCCATCCCTCTTCCTTTCCACTCTTGGCCTGGCCCCCTAACCACGCACTTTAACCTTGCTTCTTTCTTTTAACTTCTTTTGGAAGGGCAGAGCCTGTGGTCATTCCCTCCCTGGCTCTCCTCTCCTGAACTTTGAGGCTTGTCATGAATTTTTAAGTAAGCATTTTATCCTTTAAGGGAAGAAACAAATTAATTTCCTGCCCATTTCAAAACCACAGTCCTAGTATGTCCTATGTGTTTCAGGCATGTGTTTGCATGTATGTGGGAGGACTGTGTTCTTCCTCCTGTGCCCTCTAGTCCCATAGTTCCTCTGTGCCCCATCTGCCTCCACCTTCTGTTACGTCCAAGAGTACCCACTGCCCCCAGTCACTCCTGATCTGAAGCCAAAGATGGTGGGAGGGGCAGGGCAGACAGGGACACTGGCTACTCGGGACCTAGCCTTCCCTCCATGTGAGGAGGGAGTTCTGATCTAAGGAGAGATGAGTAGATACTGACAGTTGGGCCCTGCCTTCCCAGCAAGGGGGAACGATGGGATAGAGCTGGGGGCTGCACTGATAAGATTTCTAAAAGTTGCACCCCAAAAAGCCAAACTGGGCTGGTTGTGAAGAGGGGGCAGTTTTCTCTAAATGTAGCATTGAATTTGGCCCTGGTCCCTTTAAATGCTCTGTCCATCCATCTCCTAGTTAAGTCTCCTGGATAGTTGGACCCACTCCTGTAACCCATCGTTCCTTTCCTCACACTCAATACCTCAGCCAGGGGCCAAGACACAGAACTTGAATAGAGGTCATGCCCCTTCCACCCCCACAGTGCATCCTTGCCCAGTTTGGCTGCCATCAGTATTGTCCCCTGAGAACTGGACAGGCTTTGTTTACACAGTACAAGGTCTCCCCCTGGGGGATCCCTCGGCCTCCTTCCCTCACCCAAGTTTGCATTATTTACAGTCCTACCCATTTTTTAGTTGAGTCCCCTGAATGTCTTGCCACCCTTGCCAAGGGTGCACTGAGGGGAGGGGACATCCAAGGGATCCCTCTCTCCCCGACAGATACCCTTAACCATACCTCATGCTGGTTCCCTGAAGCATGAGGTGTTGTCCAAGTCCATGTTTTCATGGTCCCTTTCTATCTCCTGTCTCTCTGTCTTGCTTCTCCTGACCCTGAGCTCCTAAACCATTTCAAGGCTTCCAAATGACCATTATTGGTGAGAAGGTTTGTGCAGCTTTTAGTTCTTATTTTTGTTTTCAAAGCCAAAGGGCCTTGTGATGCCCCTCTTACCCACTTCCCTTCACACCCTCTCCTCCCCTTTACGACAATCAATGTGACCTCTCTTAAGGGCTGCAGCCCCCTATCCCCAACCCTGCTTGTTCTGCAAAGCTTGTCCCTAACTTTAGTTCTCTCTCTCAAAATCTTCCCATTCCATCCCCTCCCTCTCATCTTGGTGCTGGGAATTAGGTGGTGGGGGGCAAGGGGAGCAGGGAGATGGGTCCTCCAGAGAAGAGACTCGGGGTATCAGTCGTGTTCTCCTTTATCAATGTTTGGCAATGACAGGAAGAGTCTGAGTATTTGTCAGGAGCCCCATTGTCTTGCTAGATGAGATTTCTGGTGGCTGTCTGTTCCCTGTTACCCCTCAGCACATCGTCAGCAGTGCTGGGGAAGGTAGTAGGGTGTCCTCTGTCCCTCCTCATGTGGCTGTGAGGAGGCCTAGGGACAAGCAGCCTCCTCTCCTATGCCAAAGGAAACCCCACCCCCCACCCTGGGCTCCCCAGCCCCTAGTGTTTTTTGAAGCATTTTGACCATTCTCATGGCCACTGCGTATTTATTTTAATATTAAGATTTTTTTAAACCTCTTTGACTTAAACGGGTGTGGAGAAGTAAAACAGGCAGAATGCCCCCCAATCTTAAGAGGGTAGGGTGAGGAGGGAACATTTCCTTCCCTTCACCCACCCTCTTCCCCGCCCCCTCTCCCCATTACAGCTCTAAAGCACTTGCTTCAAGTAATAAGCACTTTTGTGAAAAGGCCTATTTTAAGTGAGGACCCTGGGAGCAGCCCAGGTCCCAGCAAAGGAGACAGAGCGAGGGCTACATAGGAGACAGGGAAACAGACATGAATCAGAGGGCGAGATGAAAAGAGCCAGTTTTTAGTTTCTGATTTTTGGGGGGATGTTTCTGTTTGGGCGGTGGCTTTGGTAGGGTTGTGTACTATTCTTCAGAAAAACAAATGGCACAAACTGTGGGTCCTAGGATGGACCAACAGACCCGGGTCACTGCCACTGTCCAGCTGAGACTGATGGGCCACCTCCCCTGCCCCGTGGCCCCCTGAGCCATAGGACTGCTAAAAACCACTGAATGTACAGCCCAGGTTGGGGTGGGGAGCAGCCCCTGGGGGAGGGGGTTTCTCCTTTTGTTTGGTGCTGTGGGGGGTGGGAGAGATGAGACTGAGGGACTGCCACCCCATGTAGACATGTTCCTTGGGGTGGAGGGGCTGAGGAGGGTCTACCTCCCTCTCCAGCCCCAGTGTGGCCCCTCTTCCTTCCTCACCCTATCCGTTTTGACTGTAAGTCCAGCTCACCTTTGCCTTCAATATGTAACCAAAGGAAAACTCAATACTGTTTCCACCGCTGTCTGCCCACCCGAGCACCTTCTTACTCCCTAGACCTAAAAGGGGAGAAGAGGCTGGGGGTGGGGCAGGTGGGGCCAGAGTGAACGGTTCTGTGGCTGTACCCCCAAAACCTTCTCTGAGGTCTTGGAAGGGGTCCTGAGAGGTGGGGTTGGGGCCAGGTTAGCGGGGCTAGGAGTAGGCACACTCTGTATGTTAGGCATATGAGTGTTTCCTCGTCTAAATGACTCCAGCGGGGAGGCCCCTTCCTCCTTCCTTTTCAGCCATTTCTCACCCTCTCCCCATACTCAGCGTTCATCCCTTGCCTCACCTTCCCACCACAAAGGAAAATAGCCTTACAGACCCTAGCCCAGAAACCCTACTCCTGGGGCAAACCAGAATGGGCCCCCCATACCGCCTAGCTTGAACCCTACCTTTTAAGAAGGAGGGATAAGGAAAAAAGCAGCCCCTTCCCCTCTAATTGTGTCTCTAGCCCTCTGTAACCTTGACCCAGGTCGAGCAAGGGCGGAAGTAAGGAATCGAATCTTTGAGGACCAAGCCCAGTGGTCTGGGAAGAGGGAGGTAGGGAGGGAAGGGTCTGACTTAGGGACTCCCTCCTCTCACCCCATCCCCTAGAGAAGCGACCAAATCCCAGAGTTGGGAGGAAGCTAAGGTGGGGAGGGTCTGCTCTTTGAATTACTTGAAGGTACTGACTCCAAGGCTGCTGTTGCCCACGTAGGTGTGTGGGGGGGTGTTGTCACTGCATTTGGGAGGGCAGAGGATGGCAGGTGACAGAGGAACCCTACCTTGGCCCTCGCTCACTCCTGCTAAACCCTTCTCTGGGGAACCTAGAAGCCTGGCTTTGCCCCCAGGGAAGGCAGGGAGAACCTCCCCTCCTAGCCCACCCCTCACTCTGGGCACCCTCTCCAATTGCACTAAAGTAGCTGTTGTGCCAGTCTTACCCCACACTGGGGGTCGGGGGAGGTCTCTGCTTCCAGTCTTTTCCCCCACTGCCTCTGTTCCCATCCCGGACAATCTCCTCGTTCCCCTGGTATTCCTGGATAGCTCAGCTTTGTGTGTGTGTGTTTGGGGGGTGGGAGTGGGTTCTGGCTGGAGTGGGTCTTGCAGGGGTTTGGGAAGGGCTAGGGGAAAGATGGAGAGTGAAGTCTCCTGCCCCCTTTCCCAGCTCCAAGCCGCAGAAGCCTGGGAAGGAGAGCTACTCTCGCCATGTGTCTTGCAGATGTGCCAAAACGGGGTGGGGGGAGGGGAGGGTGCCTGGCAGAGCAGCCCCCAGGGTGGCTCTCTCAAAGCAATACAGTTCCCCTGCTGGGGGGACAGCAAGACAGGGGAGAGGGTTGGGGTGGGGACCTGGGGGTTCCCCATGTACAGCTGTGTATATTCAGGGGTGTTCTCTGTCTGGTACCTGCTGTGGGCATCCATGTGTGTGTGAACCTCCCCTTCCCCATGCCCTGCATGACCTGTGATGCTGCAGACACCACCATCCTGTGTGCAGGTGTGCATTGGGGGGGCACAGAATGGCATGTTCCATGTCCGGTCCACCCTCCACCCTGTAACCCATGTACTCGGTTGTAGGAAGTAAAGAAAACTGAGCACAATTCACTGGATTCTAGTTGAATCTTTCTCTAAGCAATTTACCCATTCCTGCCCTCCTCTTGCCCCAGATCCACCTGTGGTGCTAGTGTTGTGTTGGGGTGTTAGATGTGGCGGGCAGCAATAAAGGGTACATCTGCCCAGTCCTGGATCCCCAGGGTGCTGAGGGCAGCAGGAAAAAGTGGGGACCCTCAGTACATTTGCCCCACCCCTCCCCCTCCTCCCTGGGCTAAAGCACAATGCTCTCCCTGCAGACTGATGCCCCCCGCACCCTCCAGGCCCTACTCATGACCTCTCCAACCTGCTTTGAGTCCTCCCACCACACCCTGGTTTTCTATGCTGTTTTGGTGCAAGTACAACTGTCGTAGTCATGGCTTTGGGATGGGTTCTGTTTATTAAAATCCTATTGCTCCTACTGGCCCTGTGTCCCGCCTCCTTTCCTGTGGTTGGGGGGAAGGAAGGGCAGCCCAAACCCCTCTCCACTGGCCCTCATCAGCCATCAGAGACCAGGGGCAGCAGCTGCTCCTCCAGCAGGGCTATGGTGAACATGAGGCTGCCCCCCAGCAGCAGCCCCAGCCCCTGCAGCAGCACATGGAGCATAGGGAGGGGCTCAGGAGGGCGAAGCAGGGCTGGTAACTGAAAGAAAAAACAAATGTTGGGATTGTGGCCTTGTCTCTGACCTCCAAACACAAGAGAAAGGGCATCAGGATGTCTCTGCAGCCCCTGCCCACTGGCTGTCAGTCCCTCAGTGTGGGCCTGTGGACTGACAGGAGCTGAGGAGGAGGATTGATACTGCCTGATCCTCCACACCCGCCTCCCCACTTCCCTTGGTTTCTCTGCTCTACCCCACACCTCTCACCATGTCCACAAGGGCCACATAGAGGAAGACCCCGGCAGTGATCCCAAATACCCAGGGAGTGAGGGGGACAGGGCCCAGGCTGAGCCCCACCCCCAGGGCAGCACCCCCTAGTCCCAGGGTTCCAGACACTAGGCTTAGGAGTAGCAACCGGCGAAAAGGCAGCCCTGCCTGGAGCAGCATGGCAAAGTCACCTGTTGGGGAGAGGACAGGATTGCAGGGAATAAGCCAGGGCTGCCCCTGGCACCCACCAGCTTCCAGGTTCTACCCCTTGTAGGTATCTCCTTGCCGGAGTTCACCCCACCCTGCTTCTGCTGTTCCTACCCAGTTCGTGGGGCAGCTCATGGCAGAAGACTGCTATGGTGGTGCTGAGGCCACTAGGGAAGCCATCAGAGAAGGCAGCACCTGGGTTCAGCAGGATCAGAAGTTGTCAGTCCAGAAGAAAGCTTCAGGAGCAGGCTCCTGTGTCCCTCAGTAGCCCTCCCACCCTCCTGGTTGTCCTCTCCAGTAGGACAACCTGCCCCAACCTGCCTCCTTCCTTCCCTGCATACCTATGGCCAGCCCGTCAGTGAGGTTGTGCAGACCATCTCCCAGGAGGACCATCCAAGTGATATTGGTTCCACCTTGGTGCCCATGACTGTGTCCTAGGTGCCTAGGAGGGGCTAGGTCTGGTGGGGACCGACTGTCCTGCTCCTTCTGGCCCTGAGCTCCTGGCTCTGAAGAAAGGACAAAGACAATGTTGGTGGCTGCAAGTGAGGACTGTGAGCCAGGAGTCTGCTTTTTTCTCTCCTAGTCACCTGGAGCTGCTTGTAGAGGCTGAAGGGCCATCCCACTGCTATCCTCTGGGTCCAGGTTTGGTGTTGCGAGGTCCCTTCTTTTTCGCCTGCAGCACCTCTGAAATAGGAGGATATCCCTCCTGGTGGAGGCGGCACCAGAGCCAGGGGCTAAGGTGAGGCCAGGCCACAAGCTGGGAAGATGAACACCTGGCTTCACCTCTGGCACCTGGAATGTTCTTTGGTTCCCAGGTTGGCACCTCCTGTTTCTTATTGACTTGAATTTGGAAGAGAAGGCCATGTGGCCAGAAGTCCTGCATCTATGCTTACAGAGCCCCCCACACTCTGTCAGCTTTTGGATCCTGCACAGTCAGGCAGGCCCCAGAGATCTGAGAGCACTGCCCTCATCTCCTGGCTTCTTTGACTGATTCTTGGTTAGGACTCTGGCCTTGATAGTAGGAAGAGAAAAGGGTGTCACTCACTGGCCTGAGCCCTCGGTGCCGCAAAAGCCCTAGCGTGTTCTCCAGCACAAAGAGCAGGAAGAGGCCTCCAAGCACAGACAGCCCTGGACCCAGGTCCTCCTCTGGTCCCCCTCCAGGTCCTGTGTGCTCCCTCTCTTGTGCCTGGTAGAGAGGAGGTTAGGACAGAACCCAGAAGTCCTTACATCCTGGAGGGAGGTGACAAGCTCTGCTCTGATGCCCTGTGAGCTGAAGCCAGGAATGGGGGAATGGGATGTAGGAGCTGACACAAAGCGGGAGGCAATGTCCAATGGCTGGGGATACCTTCGATCTGTGTAGGCCATCTGCCACTGGGGACAGGGGTACAAGGAAGGGGCTTCACATACGTGTGGCAGCAGGTGTAGCAGTGCGTCCCCACAAAGAGTGCCCACGGCCAGGGCTCCCAGGAAGCCCAGCAGGGGCCGTAAGAGATGAGGTCCCAGAAGCCTCAGCAGCAGTAGGGAGAAGGGAGCAGGGAGGCTGAGTAACAGGACTGCCAGGGTGCTATGAAGCAGGGCTGGGAGAATCAAGCTGAAGTTAGGCCAGGGCTGGAGAGGGGCCCCAGAGGGAAGGGAGGGCAGAGATGTGCTGAAAGGAGAGGCAGGGCCCTAGTGAGCCTCTCTCTTGGCATGGTCCCACTCCCTACCATGATTCAGGGTGCCCACTACCCACTCCTACTCACTGACCAGATAGCAGATCCCTGGGGGATGCAGGGGCTGGGGCTTGGATGCAGACTCGGCTGTCGATCTGATAAAGCAGTGCTGGGCATAGCAGAGCAAACTGATGAGGGGTCAGAGGAGCAGCGGGGCTCAAGCCAAAGTTGACCAACAACTGAGAGCCGTTCAGACACTGGGGGATGGAGTTGAGGGTCATACATTGGGTAATTGCTCAGAACTACAACTTGGCTCATTAATATCTGTCCCTCCATTGCATGGGTCTGTCTTTTCTTTTTTTTTTTTTTTCTTTGAGACAAAGCCTTAAGCTGTCCCCCTGGGTAGAGTGCTGTGACATCACAGCTCACAGCAACCTCCAACTCCTAGGCTCAAGCGAGTCTCTTGCCTCAGCCTCCCAAGTAGCTGGGACCACAGGCGCCCGCCACAACATCCAGCTATTTTTTGGTTGCAGCCATCATTATTGTTTGGCGGGCCCAGGCTGGATTTGAACCCACCACCTTAGGTGTATGTGGCTGGTACCTCAGCCACTTGAGCCACAGGCACCAAGCCACATGGGTCTTTCTGAGAGTCCCCTTTGCTCATGCTGGCAGGTGCATCAGGGACTGGGGGGCAAGGGTACTTATAATTGATGTGTGTTAATTATTAGTGAATATTCAGTCAAATGCATATATTCAATTCAAAGCAAACTGAATGCTAGTGAACCAAGCCATCGTTTCTCTCATGGTCAAGCCCTGATCATTTTGTTGATTTCCTGATGGAGTTAATTGGACAAATGGAGGACTCTATGCCAGAATCTTAGAAGGGAAAAGAACCTGCGATGTCATCCAACCTCCTTCTTAACAGCTCCATCACATGTTCATCCAGCTTCAACTTGAATCCTTCCTGTGACTTGGGGTACCCACTGGACCTGCTTCAAAGTTAGGCAGCTTTGCCAAGCTGAGTCTTGGAGCTCTGGGTATGGGTCACTTGCGCTGAGCCCAGAGGGAACATATTTCACTATTGGAATAATATACCCCAAGGCCACACTGGGATTTTTTTTTTTCTTTTTGAGACAGAGTCTCAGACTGTTGCCCTGGGTAGTGCTGTGGCATCATACCTCATAGCAACCTCCAACTTGGGCTCAAGTGATCCCCTTGCCTCAGTTTCTCTATTTTTAGTAGACACAGGATCTTGCTTTTTTTTTTTTTTTTTTTGGCTGGGGCTGGGCTTAAATCCACCAGCCCTGGTATATGGGTTGGCACACTACTCCTTGAGCAACAGGTGCCACCCGAGGGGGGTGGGTCTTGCTTTTTGCTCAGGCTGGTCTCGAACATGTAAGCTCAAGCTATCCACCTGCTTTGGCCTCCTAGAGTGCTAGGATTACAAGCGAGAGCCACCGCGCACAGTGGACGCTGGGATTTTTTTTTTTTTTTTGAGACAGAGCCTCAAGCTATCCCCCTGGGCAGAGTGCTGTGGCATCACAGCTCACAGCAACCTCCAACTCCTGGGCTCAAGCGAGTCTCCTGCCTCTGCTGGGACCACAGGCGCCCGCCACAATGCCTGGCTATTTTTTGGTTGCAGCCATCATTGTTGTTTTGGCGGGCCCAGGCTGGATTCGAACCCACCACCTTAGGTATATGTGGCTGGCGCCCTAGCCACTTGAGCCATAGGCGCTGAGCCTGCAATAACTATTGAAATAACTGTTAACATTACTGATTTTAAATATTTCAGGCCATCTAATCTCATGGCTCCTTCCCCCTCTTTAGAGACCATCAGACTCACGTCCTCATTCAGATGGTCAGCCAGCGAGTGGTCCAGCAGCAGAAGTCTGTGAAAGAGGCCCAGGCCCGAGGGGGCTGGCCCATGGGGTAGGTGGGAGGCCTTTGACTCCTCCAGATCACCCCACCCTGAAGGAGCCAGAGGCATCCCTGACCAGACATGCACACTCAGCTCAGAGTCCTGCGGCCTGGAACAGATGGCATAGCAAGTCAATTTTTCTCTTATCTCAGAAACCACCTTGAGAGGTGCCCAAGGAGCTTAGGGGAAAAGAGAGGACCCACCACTGGCTGGAGTTCCTGAGGCCCAGAAGTCATGGAATGTAAGCATCTAGGAATCGGGCCATGGGTGTGACAGAAAACGAAAAGACAGATGAAAGTGCTACAGATTGGAAGCCAAGTCAGCCTGGAGACAACATTGGGACCAAGAGCCAGAAATGTAAGGCCTTAGGGACTTGGAGGAGGAAGTTGAAGGCAATATGTGCAAGAGGGGCCTGGAAGAGATGCTAAAGAGCTGGGTTCTGAAGAATTTGTAACTCCAGGGGTCTCATTTATGAAGCCAAGCTAAGCAATTGGAGACTATTCTAAACACTGACAGGAGCTGGAAGATGTGGCACTGTGGAGTATAGGAGAGGGTGATACCTGTCTGTGGCATTGTCTATGGCTGGGGGTGTTGTCCGCCCTGTCAGAGGCCCATGGTGACCCAGGCGAAGCCCTTGAACTCGGCCCAGCCCCAGGTTGTGGAGAAGCCGGGCCAGGCCGCCTGCAGTCAGCGTCCCATTCTCTCCGTAGAGGCCAAACAGCTGGGTCAGGTAGTGGTTCTGCTCCTGCTCTGCAGGGCCAAGGTTAGGGACTGAGCCCCTTACCCAGCCCAAGACCACCCCTACACAGAAACCAGCCAGTAGACGACTCATTGGGGACCCTGTCATTGCGGGGAATGGCTCAGAGGCTCTGGTTCCAACTTCTATTACCCCCGGAACATCCTGAGGACTGTGCCCTGGAAGAACAAGGTGAAGTGGGTCAAAGCTACTGCTCTGCCGTCTGGGCCAGGGGAGGATCATTCCCTGCACCTGCCTAAGCCCCTCAAAGTCCAACCGCAATCCCCACTACAGCCTCCTCCTCACTCCCCAGTGTCTCTATTTGGAGCAGCCTCTCCTTTGCCAGTTTGTTCTGAGAGCACCTCTCTGATCAGAACTGACCAACCATCTCAATTACCAAACCCCCACTGGCAAAAAAAGGATTGTGTCCACCTCAGGTCTCCTGTCAGGTCTTGCTGTGGATGTCGAGGTTCTTGAGTCAGAGAGGGTAAATCCAGGTTCAGACTGTGTGCCCAGGTGGAATGGAGGCCACGTCATATAGAAGGCTGAGATGGACAAGCCCCCACACCCCACATCCAGTCCACCTGCTTTGGGGTGGAGTCAGGGGCGGGGCCAGTGTGGGAAGTCTCACATCAGAGAGGAGTTAATGGTTCACTGTCTCTAGGGGTGGGGGTCAAAGGTCAGTCTGCTGGGGCCCTGAATAGGGAGGGGCCACCATATGCCCCTGGGAAAGCCACATGGCTGAGGAAAACTTGGGCCTGTTTTTTTTTTTTTCTTAAAAAATTCCCCACACCCCTAACCCAGTTAGTACCATTTTAGCCTTTTCCTGCATATATTCCCACTCCACCTACCTAACATCTGGCACTGAACTTCATGTTCAACCCCCATCCCCATGTTCCCTAGGAAAGCTGGACCTGGGTGTCCCTACTGTGGGGAGGAGGGGAAAGAGGCAGATTAAGTGGCAAGCCCAGATGCACCCATAGAGAAGAGATTGTTCTCAGTGATTTCTCATCCCAAGAAGACTAATAAGTCAGAGCTCTAGGAATCAATGACCAAGAAAGGGGAAGTCCTGGTGGGGACGGAAACAAGTACTGGGGCTCCCCCCAGGTGTCTGACCTGGCCTAAAATCAGGCAAACAAAGCCTGATTGGGGCAATTAGTCCAGAGGGTCCAGGGTGGCATTACCTGAGAGCAGGAGACAGGAAGGACACCCAGAAGGGGGACACAGCCTTCTTGGTTCTAGCTTGGGGGGTGTGTGTGAAGCAGGCAGGCGGGCAAGGGTCACCTGAAGGGAGGGGGCAGGGGAGGGACACTATCTTAAAGGGGCAGGTCTTCTTTGTCAAGGCCTCCTTGTTTTTTTTTTTTTTTTTTTGGCCCAGGCTGGCTTTGAACCCACCACCCCAGGACAGCAGAGCAGTATGGTGCTGGTGCCCTACTTTGAGCCACAGGCGCTGCCCAAGGCCTCCTTACTTGTAACCCGTCTTCCCTCCACCTCCTATGGACATCTCACTTTCCCAAATGCCTAGCTTTTTTCACAAAAAGCAAAGGAGTCAGCACAGAGTGGTAACATTTATTAGGAAGGAGAGATTCCAATTTAAACCCCCAATTACACACAGAAGAAACAGATTGTAACTATTGTTTCTAAAGAGGAAGGCGGGCAGGCAGAGGGTCCTGAATCCAAGGAGACAGACAGCTTCAGCTGGATGCCGGGAGAGTATGGCCTTAGGGAGGATAAGGCCGCTCGCTGCTCACCACCCCTCCAGTGAAGTTTAGTTGCTAAAATGTTGTCCCCCTCTATCCCAATCCCAAAGCCAGAAGCCCAGTAGAAGGCTGTCTTGCTCACTGGCAGAGACACTTGGATATGGTTGATGGCGGGAAGGAAGAGTGTCTTGCTATCTCTTGCTGCTCCTCCGGGTTTCTTTGCCGTTACTAACAGGGTTGTTAGAGGGGCCAGGAGGGCCTGCAGGTGTGTGGTTGGGTTGGCTTCGAGTGATTCGTGTGCTAGGGGTATGAGAGGGAGCGTGGGGGGGATGTGAGCCACCACCAGGTCCTGGTGGGGCACTCAGTCCATTCCCGTTCTGGCTCTCAGAGGCTAGTTGTGAGAGAAGATGAAGAAACACCGGAATTAGAGAGTTAAGGTAGGAGAGGAGCCAACCTCCATGACCCAAAAGTGGCATACCTTCACCACACACAACTGCACACATTAATTCCAACTGGACCAAGAGCAAAAGAATCTGGATTGCAAGTATGAATGAAGCCCCAGAGAAGACTCAAATAATCACTTTCCAAGTTGCCACATGAACTCTGGTATATTTTTCTCTCTTACTCATCTTTGTATCATTAGGAGTTAGACTTAGATTCTAATTGTTTTTAGTTTTAGGTTCTAGGACCCCTGATAAATGCCTCTTTACCAAAAGATATTGTAAACTGGAGACATATAAGGGGAAGGGCCTGAAGTTTTTGCTTGTTTTTTTTTTGAGACAGAGTCCCACTCATTCGCCCTGGGGTAGGGGTAGAATGCCATGTATCACAGTTTACAGCAACCTCAAACTCTTGGGCTCAACAGATGCTCTTGCCTCAGCCTCCCAAGTAGCTGGGAGTACAGGCACCTGCCACAACACCTGGCTACTTTTAGCAATAAGGTCTCGCTCTGGTTCAGGCTGGTCTTGAACCTGTAAGCTCAAGAAATCCCCCTGCCTCGGCCTACTAAGTGCTGGGATCATAGATGTGAGCCACTATAGTGGCTTGCGACTAGTTTTTCAATTTGTAGAAACTGGGTTTTGTTTTACTAAGGCTGGTCTCCAACTCCTGAGCTCAGGTAATCTACTTGCCTTGGCCTGTCAGAGTGCTAGGATTACAGGTTTGAGCTACCATACCCAGCCCATGAAGTTTCTGTGTTTTATTCCTTGACACACAGCAAGTACTCTATAAACATTTGGTAAATGAAGGCAGAGGCCTGTCCCTTGCATCTGTAAGGCACTAAGAAGCTTAAATGGGATAGATGTTACAGGCTGGTAGTTCTTAAACCATATCCCTAGTGAACCTTGCTGCTCCACTGCACTAAGATACATGCAGCCAAAACTGAAGAATACTGCCCTTTCTCAATTCACAGGAAAAGGTGAATGTATAGAAGTCAATGTTATTATATCAGTATCATACATTTTGTTACCTGTCAGCTGATGACAAAGTGAATAAACACATGGTAAATAAATATAAGGTGTAAACAGGCCCCTAATGTGCCTTATTAAAGATCTTTTTGTAAATTATGGAATCATGAAGGCCTGAAAACAGGTAATAGTTGTATTTCCTGTTCGGAACATGGACACTGATTTTTTTTTTTTTTTGAGATAGAGCCTCAAGCTGTCCCCCTGGGTAGAGTGCCGTGGCATCACAGCTCACAGCAACCTCCAACTCCCGGGCTCAAGTGAGTTGCCTGCCTCAGCCTCCCAAATAGCTAGGACCACAGACGCCCTTGGTTGCAGCCGTCATTGTTGTTTGGTGGGCCCGGGCTGGATTCGAACCTGCCACCTTAGGTGTATGTGGCTGGCGCCTTAGCCACTTGAGCCACAGGCGCTGAGCCGATGGACACTGATTTTTGTAGCAGAATTAAATGTTGCTATTTTCTGGCTGTATTAGGGTTCTCTGGACAACCAGAACCAATAGGAGACATGCATACATACACGTACACACACACATACACACACACACACACACATTTATACCTATAACAACAAACCTGTGATAGTTAAATTTAATTACATAATGGGATTTATAATAAGGAATTTTTTTTTTT